TGCTTCCTTCTGCCTGCGTTTACCATTCACAGCCCATTTGAAGGGGGAAAGGATTGGCTTTGGGGTCTTTATGAAATGCACAGTGGCAGCCTGAGGGAGAGCCAGGAGGCCAGACCACTGGGGGGTTAAATCTGGCGGCATCACCACATTCCCAGTTCTGTGATCTGGGTCCAATTTCTTAACTGAGATGAAAGGGTGACGACCCCACCGCTGGAGCCTGTTGTGAGGCCTGGAAACACTATAATGACTCCCCCTCCCACTCTGAGATCCTGTCCGAGCAGGCAGAGCCCCGGGTGGTCGCTGGGATTATCCTCCCAGAGCCAGGCCCTCCTCCCAGCAGCCACCACCAGAGAACCAGGTACCCTGCACCTCCGGAGAGGGGCCGGGACAGCGGGGGAAGGAGAGCGCCGGGGCGCAGGGGGCTTTGAGGTCCTGCCAATCACATAAAAGGAGAAGCGGGCCGCGATGACAGAAGTGAGAGCATCGCGCACAAGCAGGCCACCTCCAGGCGGTACCCCGCGTCTCGCATGTGCAGACACCTGAAGCCAAGGCTACAGGTGCCCAGTGACGCCCTTCCACCCGAGAAGCAAGTGTGACTCTGACGCGCGTTTAAACTAGAAAGTAGAAGTGGGGACATTTGTCCGAAAGCTCAGCACCGATGAGCGTGGTGCCGGGCCCTGGACCGTGACCTTCTCGCTGAGTCAGAGAACCCCACGTGGGGACTCCCGCGAACGGAGCCAGGGCAGCTGTCATCAGGGTGCACTCTGGCCAGACGCGGACCTGGGGACCCGGAAAGCTGGTGTTCCCTCTGCTCCCATCTTGCTGAGGCCATTTCCTCTGGCCTCTGGCCGGCGTCTCTGATGCCGAGGGACAGGTGGGCCATGTGGCATGAGGAGGGAGCCGCCTGCCCACGAGGGGAGCTCGTGTGTGACCCCCTCGGCCTCGGGACGTGCACGGAGCCCTCTCTGGACTGCACTGTTTCGGTGCTGGAAGTAGGTGTGGATCTGACTTCAGAGCAGACGCCTTCAAGATACTGGAGCGACAGGGAGAGGGTCGGGGAGGCGGAGAACGAGAGAATATCAACGCGTTTTCCAAAGCAATGGTTCCTGACAGCCACAGAAGCGCATGCTCCCCGCTTCCGGGCGAGCCCAGAAGAGGCCTCCGGGCGCAGTGTGGGGCGCAGTGTGGGGAGGAAAGTGGTGGTCTCTTGGCGGCCATGCGCGTCTCTGAGAGAAAGTCATTCCATGCTAACCTCATTTCCTGTTTTGACGAGCTTCACCAGCCCAGCCGATGAGGGGAATGCCCCAGAAAGTGTGTCTTGCTTTCAGTAAGCATCTGAAAGCCGCTCTTGTGTCCCGCGTACACACAAGCCGGGTGGGTGGAGGTGTGACCAGGAGAATCCACAGCTGGGAGGACAGCCATCCCGGAGGGGTCAGCTCGTGCCCGGCGCCCGCCCGGCTGCCCCGCGCCCTCGCCGTGCAGGTGGCCGGGCGGGCGGGCCCCCGTGAGCTCTCAGGTGGACAGACCGTCCGTGTTTCTCCCCCCGGCAGGTCTGCTTTCAGATGGGTCTCGGCAACGCCACGCCTGGAGGCGGAGGTCTGCGAGGTGGCAGGGTCGGCCTGGGGCGGGTGTGCACCGTGTGTCCTTTAAGTATTTCCATGGAGAGTCGCAGGGCCTCGCCCCGTGTCCTGTCCACTCGCCATGTGGGAAATAAGTTGGAGGAAGAGACACAGAAAGTATGTTGATCAAATTTGCAAATCACACAAACCGCTGAGGAAAATGGCCTCAGGTAGCGGGCGCCCAGTGAGCTGGGATGAAACCAGGCGGAACAAGTGGGAAGTGTCCTTGCACAACAGGATCCTCTGAGGAGCACGCAGCCCGGGGCGCTGGGTCCTGGGTACACGGCGCGTACTCGGTGTGGCCCTAGGACACAAAGCGCCGGACCTCGCCTCTCCTCCTCTTCTTTCCACGATCTTGAGCCCGTTCTCTGGCTGCCAGGCACTAAAGTCCCTTCCGTGCTTAGGTACGGCCTTGTTGTGAGGATGAGATAAGTCAGAGGGGTAAAGTGTCTTGAGAAAGGGAAAGCTCTGAAATTCAAAATAGTATTATTCTTTGTCGTAAGGTGCTTTCCCTCCGAAAAAAGAAAAAAAATCTGACAGTCTGCGAGCAAAAAGCAGAAAATGATTCAGCTCGGCTTCTGTTTCTCCCGCTTGAACCCCACGCTGGCTCAGCTTGCTGAGCGGACGCAGGGGACCCACGTGGAGCCTGGCCCCTCTGCTCCAAACCCTCCCCCCCGCTGCAGTCTGCTTTGCCACAGGTCCTCCCTGGAGGGCTGCTCCCAGGGGCCTGCCCTCCGGGACTGCAGTCATTCCACAGCCACTCGGGGAGCTCCCTTCCCAGCTCTAGGTCTTCAGAGGCCCGGCCGGAGCGAAAGTCAGATGAGCAGGGTCAGGGCCTTAGACTCTCCCAGGAACTTTACGTTCTTTCCATCCCACCGGCACACTCTGAACGCACGTCTGCCTTGTGCTGCTCAAGCCTTGGCTCAAAACGCAGATGAAAAATACATGCATTGCCTTAAACTCCTCTCGGGCCCAGTGAGGCTTCACTGGGCAGGTGCAGGCTCAGAGCTCCCCTGGGCAGAGCAGTCCAGGAGAACTTTCTGTGACAACATCCGTGTTCCCCGTCCACCACGGCAGCCACATCCACGTGTGCATAGTTAGGTTTCAATTAATTACAATAAAAGTTCAGTTCCTCGGTCACACCAGCCACATTTTAAGTTTCCAATGGACACGTGTGGCTAGTGGAGACTGTATCAGACAACACAGCCCAGCCAGCAGTTGTCAGCCTTGGCTACGCGACGGAATGACCTGGAGAATACTGATGTCTGGCCTCCATCTAATTCTGATGTGATCGCTCCTGGGGGAGCCTGGCCACTTGGATTTTTTAAACGTTCTGGGTAATCGAATGTCTGCCAGGGTTCAGAATCATCTAGAATTGTGTGGTCAAATCGCTCTGTTCCCTCCCCGGTGACCCCTGGGAGCTAATTGTCCTGCAAACCCTGTGTGAGCTGTGCCTGCTTCTCCCTGAGCCTGGGACTCCCATCTCTGCCAGGTTACACATGCCTTCATGGGTGGTCTCTGCAGCGCTCAAAGCACAGGTGAGGAGTGACCAGGTGGGAAGAGACATCCTTCCCAACACAATCCCCCTGTTCCAGGGCAGGGGGATGTCCAGAGGGACTGACTTAGATCTGTGTGGTGCCCAAGGGTCATGTCCACAAACCCACGGCCGGCCAGGTGGGCTCCCTGCATTCTCAGGGCTTTGCCTTGCTGTCCTCAACACCCTCCGCATTGCCTCCTCTTCTTCCAGAACCAGCAGACGTAGAACCAGCAGATGCAGAACCAGCAGAGGGGGTAACATAAAAGAACATCTTGCCCGGCCCCCCAGTGTGGTGCTGAGGGAACACACATCCAGAGAAGTCAGGTGGCTCCGAGGGGCAAGAGCTGGCAGAGCAAGGACGAGAGCCCACCCTCCGGACGCCTCCCAGGACACGCCCTCCAGCAATGGTCGCCTCTCCTCTCCCAGGACTGCAGGTGAGTGAGATCTGATTGAGCACATTTATATGCAAGGCAGAGCTTGTTCAGCTGAGAGTCTGGCTACTGACAGCATGCGGTTCGCCATCAGCCTTTTCTGCCGGGTGGTCTTGGCAGAAAGCCTGGCCCCTCCCTCCGGCGGCTCTGTTCACCGCGCTGCCTCCTCGAGGCCCATGGGTGCAGTTTCCTCGTCCACCACGCAGTGGTGAGACCCCTGGGCTGGCCACACCACCGTGCTGTGAGGAAAAGTGATAAGATAATGGATCTGGTCAACACGTGATTCATGAACAGAATGCCAGGTGCTGGGGACAGACTGGCAGCGGGCAGACTAGGATCTGCCTGAGCAGAGCTTCAGTGGGGGCCGGTGAGAGGCAGACAGCTAAGTAATAAATGCGCAGTCAGGATGATGTTGATAGTGGTATGTTCTACGGAGAAAATAGAGTCGAGTCATGAGGTAGCGACAAGTAGAAGTGTGGGTCCAGACCGGGACATGATGGTCACCTGGGGAGGGGACATGGATGTGCATAGTGGCACCTGGTATGCCAGGCACATGGGGGGCCGAGATGTTCATCACGGTCTCCTGATAAACTAACTCTGGGAAGTGTAAACGGTGCGCCGGTCATTTAAGTTGTTCTTGGATGTCTGTGAGTGCAAAAGTGAAGACAGGAGGTGCTAGGAGGCTTCCATGGCCTCTGAGTGTCTCTCCAGGAGGCTCGAGCCCTCTACTCAGTTGGAGAAGAGAGTGGGGTCCACGGAGGAATGCTTTGACATTTATCCATTCTTAAGGAATATTTAGTTGCCAATTTCAGGGGCTCGGGTTTAAGAAGTCAGGACATCTGAATGACATGGTCATGCGGTCCATTGTGATGACTGCCCAGCCGCCTGCACCTCGTGACGAACCCCAGCAAAGTCCACTCACTCACAGGTAGGCTAGAGGGGTCGGGAGGCCAGGCAGAGCGGGTCCCACCCACTGCTCTGTCCTCAGAGCACCGCACAGAGCAGGCCCCAAAGACACCCGTGTGAAATGAAGAAGTGAATGGTGACTGATGGAGGGCGAGGGGAGGCAGCTGAGAAGGCAGGCCTCCAGGAGAAAGCTCAAGGTGATGATTCTGAGGTCACCACTGACAGGCCAGTACCAGATGCACCCACTTCCAAACATCTCCCAGTGTTTTCCTCAAATGCCAACACGTCAATGCTGACTGGAGAGAGGCCTTCCAGAGAGGCAGAAGAGAAGGCCGGGCAAACAAGGCTGAGTAATAAGAGACTCAAGTTCAACACGCTTCTAACGCTGTCATAATGCTCTGTGTGGTTACGGCAGGGTTGACGTGTGGTCCTACAGAAATGAATCTCAAACATGATTTGGTCTCCTTTAAATGAGTGTGCAAATATAGCTAAGAAGCAAAGAATTCATTTTTAAAAAATGTTGCTTTTAATGAAGAAAAAGGGAGTAAGACACATAGAGACAGCCAGATACATAGGAAGCCAGCCAGACGAGACCATGACATAATACTGCAGACACATATCAGCAAACGCAGAGGCCCTTGAAGTCCACACGTCAGTCAGGTCCAGGGCAGACCTGCCACCTCATCCCGGCGTGGGCAGCAGGCGGCAGGTAGAGGTGCTGGAAGGGGGCTGAGTCCTGATTTTTTTTTTTTTTTTGGTCTGTGTCATTTTCGATCAAGTGTGTCATAGAGCTTCCTGTTTCATCTCCCAGTTATTCTGAAACAAAAACATGTATAAAAAACACAGGTCACTGCCAACCACACTGAGAGATAGCCACGCCAGTACGTGGAAACCGAAAAGGGAAAGAGATCGTAAATGCCACAGTGAGCTGGGGGATCAAATTTATCAGCATCTGTTCAAATAGTGACAATCGACCAAAATTGCGGGTGGTGATGGAGGGCGGGGCATCGTTTAAAAATAATTCAGAAGGGACTGAAAAGGCAGAAGTTCCCAGAAGCCCACTGCCTGCTTACTGACAAGTTGAGGTCAGACTCTGGGTCAAGGTCTATCCTGGGGCAACGGAGGCTCTTCCCCTTGTGTCCCTGTCGGCCTTGGCCTCGTGGAGACTCACACAGGACTTTCAGGAGACCTGTTTGCCCAGATGATGCCCCGAGCCTCCTCCCAGGTCCAAAGAGAGTGAAAGGAGGTCCCTGTGGAGTTGCTGTCCCCTGAGGGTAAGCTAGGAGGATGGCCCTGATTTTCCATTCCCATCCCTTTCCCCAGCCCAGGAGAGATGGCTCCCGGGGATCCATGCATGAAAGCATCTAGCAGACGAGCTGTGTCCTCAGCCCCAGTGAGGCGGGGAAGCTTCTGACCAAACAAACACCCCGAGGACCACACAGCCTGAGAGCAGCTCCAAGGACCATGGAGCTGGTAAACCCCGCTTTGCCACAAGCTAATTTCCCCAAACAAGTGGAAGGATTCTTCCAGAGACAGACAGGGGGGCAACTGAAATGCAGGCAGCCTCATCACACAAAGCCCCCGCTGTGACCGAGCAGCCAGCCTTGTGCTTCCGTCTGCTCCTCAGAGGCCTTTCGGGGATGGAGACAGCGCTGTCCTGGGAGGGGGGCCAACTCCAGCCTGTCGGCTACTCTTAACATGCTCTCTCTGCAGCCACTCCTGATGGCCGGGGAGGGGACCAGCTCTGCCCCTGACTGCTCTGAGCTCCCTGGGGGCCTGGCTGCCCTCTCCACCTGCAACCTGGCCAGATGCAGCCCTGAGCTCACCAGGAAGATCAGTTCCCTGCCTCCCCCATTTCCTGACTTTTGTTAATGGCACAAACCTGTGAAAAGGGAGAGGGGTGCATGGTCTTGAGGCACTCCATCTCTCCCCAAGAGATAATGCACCGTGTAAAAGGCCCCGAGACGTTGGGGAATAAGGAAAGCCATTCACACAGGGTGGTGTGTGCCCCCCAAACACTCCTGGAGCAAAGCCCTTCCTTAGGCCTCGGGAATGCTGCTCAGGGCGGCCCCGCCCGCCCTTCCCCAAAGGGCTCTCCGTGGGCTGCAGGCTGCTGAGAGCAAAGCTTGTCTTACACGCAGTCCTTGTCCCGACACTCTCGGCCATTGGGGACCGTCTGTATTTATTTCCTCACACTCTGTATTGTTTTATCCGGCATCTTTTCCCCGATGTCCCGTAGACAGGAGCTAGTCCATCACAAATGCCTGCAGCCTTTATTACTTTTCTCCAAGGCTTCATTTGCTAGTGGCAGTGAAATACTGGGCTTTCCAAGAGGCGATGCCCCGTGGACTCCAACACCCCGGGGAGAACGTCGCCCAGGTGAATCAGTTGGAAAACCAGCTTCCTGGTGTGTGCTTGCACTTAGCAATCCAGATGTGGGCCCAAGGTTTCGTATGCAGAGCCTTCCTGGGTGGGCAAAGAGAAACAGGAACTAAGAAACGCATCAGTGGCCGGCATGGGAGGAAGGGGAAGCCTCGTTCCTTCAGCTTCACCACGGAATAGAGAGGTACTGCTCTCCAGTTCCCCCACTTGTGAGTGAGATGAAAAGCCAAGGGCAGCAGCCCAGGCTTCAGTATGGAGTGTCGGGCTACATGGAGTGGACCTAAGCACGGAGTGAGAGGAGCAGGGCCCTAAGGGTCATCTGGTCCACCTTCACGTGGCAGGTGCACAGAGGAAGGAAGCTGGCACCTTCCTCAGGTCACACTGGCCCGGACACTACTGGATGTAGTCCTGAGTCACCCCTACCCGCTCCCAGATCCCGAATATCTGCTTCCACAGCAAGGCCTGCGCTCGCTTGAGCTTGTCCGGGGCTTTGGTGTGGGTGAGGCAATCCCTCGGGATTCTGTGTTGGCCTGGCTACCTGTTTACCACTAAAGAAACCCATCCACACACTTTAAAAGGTTTTCCTCTAACTCAGAGCCCGTCACACATATGGCGTCCCCTCTGCCAGCACACACTGGGAGGGTGTGGAGACCAGTAGCGTCTCCCTGTGTCGGCAGTCATGTGGGTGGGGGCGGGGGGAGTTCCTGATCACATATCACGCCCTTATCTTACTCCAGCTTGGCTGGGCTAAGCTGTTCCTTCACTCTTTAGTATGCAAGTAGGTCTCCCCACGGTGTCGCTTGGATCTGCGGAATGACCTCAGGGTCCCTCACAACACCCTGAGGGAGGTCCCGCCCATGTAGCCCGAGCCCTCTGGATGCTCCAAAGCAGGTGTCTCTGACCTGAGGACAGTCGGAGGGACGCTCCGGGCACAGGACGAGGGGAAGGGAAGAGAAACAGCAGCTCGGACACCCACCCCGGAGGGACGCTTCCTGGGCAGGGTGCTCTGCCCCTCAGTGCCACCCGAGCCTCTGCTCCCCAGGCATCACGCACCAGGCAGGAGGACCTCACTCTGCCGAGAGGCCACACAGGAGCCCGGCCACCCCGGCACAGGTCTTCGGCCCCGGGAAGACGACCGGCCGCGCGCATCCTGACAGCGGTGACTCGCGTTGGGTTCCGAATGTGTGGAAAGCCCACTTTTTAAAAATATATATATTTTTATTGACTTCAGAGAGGAAGGGAGAGGGAGAGAGAGAGAGAGAGAAACATCAATGATGAGAGAGAATCATTGATTGGAAGCCCACTTTTGGAGACTTTGAATGATTTCCCAGGAGGACGGGGTGGGCACACACTGTGCCGGGCGTGCACTGTTTTCACTTCGCACACTGTGAGAACCTGGAGGGCCAACAGGAACGTGCCGCTGGTCATCACAGACGCATTCTCGGGAGGAGTGACACGGGTCTCCGGGAAACGACCAGGCTGCGGTGCTGCGGGAGGCGCCCACAGGCGAGGGGCCCCCACGGGCTCTCCCCTCCTTTCTCAGGGGAACCCACCTGAGGCTGAGCAGACTCAGAAGCTTTCCGAGGGGACCTCCCCTAGAAGCAGTTTTTGTGAAGTGCTCCACGCATCACTACAGACCTACACGTGGCTCAGAAAGACTCCGCGTCCCTCAACAGCCCTGTGGGCAGATGGTGAGCCGGCCCCAGAACACACGCAGGTCCCCGGCCAGTTCTTGAGCACATCCGGACACCGGGCACTGCTCCCGAGGCGCCCCACTCAGCACCCCTGCGCCCTCGGCCTGCTGTTGGGGATGTTTCTCTCACCCAGGCGCAGGGGAGGTGGGCAATGAGCTGTCACGTTCCTGGCCAGCATCCTGACGGGGATGCTCGGCCACCTGCGGGGAGGAAGGGGCGCGCATGGTTGACCGCAACCCCAGACCCAGGGAGGACCTGGGAAGCTCGCCCACCTTCTGGTACAAAGGGCCTCTCTCTCTGTTTGTACAAGGGTGGGTGACACAGGCCCACTCGCTGGGTTACGTCCTGGCCCAGCACCCCTCCTCTCCATGGTCACTTTCTCTATCCATAAGATAAAACCCTCCTTTCAAAGAACTGGACCACAAAAACGTTTTAGCAAATCTGTGGACGGGTTGGCACTGGGACAGGTCACCGTGCTGTACAGTTACAGAGAGATGCGACGGGCCTCTGAAGGCCGGTTTTATATCCAAGGTTGTACCCGGACACATGAGGGGACTCAGCATCAGAGGGAAAGGCAGGCAGCGGCTCCATGGGGCTTCAGGCACCCAACCACCCGAAGCACGGCCCTCAGAGGTTCCCGCGTGGGCCCGGGACCGGCAGCATCACATACCTGCATTTGTTAGAAATGCAGATCCCCGGGCCCTTCCCATGACTTCTGCCTTGGAAACTCTGGGACAAGGACCAGGACCTGTTTTCATGCGCCCCTGGTGATGTGCACCCAGGCCCGGGGTCACTTTGGCGAACGGCCCTGGCTCCCGTGACTCCTGTACACTGGCCATGGGCTCGGTCCCTCATGACTGTGGGTGACCGCAGGTTGGCCATCTATTGATGTTCTCACTTTAGTGCCCTCGCTCCTCACCAATGGCTCTCTCCTGAGACCCCACAGTGGGGTGTGGGGTGGGGGGGGGGGGGGTGGAGCAAGCAGCCCAGAAGCAGTGCAGATGGTCAACAAATTATCGGGATGACCTGGGGAGAAGTGTCAGCTGGATTCATCCCTATCTCCTTTTCCAGGTGCTGCACTGCCAGAAGGAGTTCTCTGGTCATCACGCCCCCCACTGGCCCAGCGCACACTCCCTGGGCCTTCCTTCCCCAGGCCAATTTGCCCGAGGAGAACGCCTGAGCCCTGAGGTCGACTGGCATTCCTCTCGAACTGGAGAACAGATGGTGTGCTCACCACCTTGACCTGCCACCCTGAGGGGGACAAGGACAGCTCACCTGGCACCTGATCGTGCCCAGGTGGGGAGCACAGCAAAATGCTCACCACTGGACAGGTAGAGGCAGCCTATGACCAGGCCAAAGCAAAGTAAAAAAATAGGTTGTTTATCATTTAAAAAAAAAAAAAAAACTAACCTCATACAGGAAGTATGCAAAAAGAAAGAGGAGGAGGAGGAGGAAGAGGAGGAGGAGGAGGAGATGGAGGAGACAGGGGAAGAAGAAAACACAGACCCAGCTGCCATGCTGACAGGGGCACTTCCAGGGCACACACTTGGTGCAGGCAGACCTGCTGCTCAGTTTCCATTCCCCGATTTGTGGGGGTGTCGGGAACGGGCGGGGCTTACAAATGATGGGACAGAGCAAGGAAGGGGACCGAGGGTCATGAGGCACCGCCCTGGCAGACAGGGTGGTGTGGGTGTGGGACCCAGTCCCAACCAGGGCCTCCCCCGCCGGTGCGACTGTCCC